ACTGGAAATCAGAAGTTAATAAACCCGAAGGCCAACACCTCTATTGGTGGCAGAGTAAACAATAATTAAATAAACAAAAATATATGTCAGTATTTCATGATCTGTCTAAAATGTCGCTAGATACTGGAGAGCGGTAGAAAGAGGTAAAATCTTGAAAAGCAGATAATTATATAGATTGGGACAAGAAACTGCATAATTGAGTATATAATAACAGCAAAAAGGATCCAAAATGAAAGCATTAAAGAATGTCCTCCATGCCATAAGACTGGCAAAATAAGAAGAAAAACAGAGTTAAATGTACTTAAGAAGGAAGCCTTGTCTGTCTTTTGTCTGAAAAACAGCAGGAACAGAAAGTGTAGTCAGTGAAAGCCAATGTAGAAAAGGGCATCAGATAAATTTGATATGTTTCATTCTAGTCACTCTCTTTCTGCTTTCATTCACCCAATGAGTGAAGTATAAATTGCTCCATTTCCAGGGTTATAATACAAAAAATGCTAAAACACAGAGATGTATATTCTGTTTTTTTAAAAAATGGTCCTATCAAGGATTCAGAGAAGCCCATCTCATTTAATTCTCAATAATCAAAGTCTCAGTATCCTTCTTTCTCTCTCCCCCCAGTGTTGGCTTCACTAATGCCAGCCAAATCTTTTTAGCAATGCCAATCATCCTAGACCCATATCTGCAGCCCCAAAATTGCAGACAATCATGCTCGCAGCCAATGAAAATGCACTTCTTTATGCATGTTCCTATGGTTACACTGAAAAGATTGAGGAGTTCCAATACAAAGCTGGGCCTTTTCATCACTGTTTTCTTTTGTTCTTTCTTTCCTATCTGTTCTTTCTGAATCAACATGTGTCAAACATAAAAGAATGTCAAACCTCAAAAGCAGTAACAATCTATACCTCTTCATTTCATTCCTGCTGTCAGAAAACCACTAGGTAAGTGGGCCAGAAGGATGAGATGAAAGCAACCAGCTATGAAAATAACTGCGATAGAAATAGGTAAGGACACACATTGCATTGCATCCTAATGGCATTGTTAGTAAACAAAAGATGGTTCAATTGGGGATCAATTCTAACATTGATTAGGACAGTTCATCCCAGTATTTAGTTTTTTATTTATATATTGGTCATTTGGTAATTGATATTATGTATTTATGTTATACAACACCCATACTCGCACTGTCTGAGTTGAACAAACCTTATACAAAAATACAAAATACTTGAAATACAAAAATAAAACATAGAAAACATTGCTATTACACAGCTGGGCCAAAAAAAAAGATACTAGTTGAATATGATTCAGGCTGCTAGCCATAAGGATGGAGAAAAGCATTTAATTAAGTAATATTCCCAGTTTCTTACTGATGCAAATCTGTGATGGAATGTAGTCTGGATTCCCAGGCGGAAGGGGGTGCATTCTAGAGGAGCAAGAGACAATTCAGAACAGATAGTATGTGTGAGAGAAAGAGGGTAAAGACAGCTCCTCTCTAATAGTTCTCAGAGTATATGTTTTATGGAGGGGGTAGTTTGCTTTAGTTTGGCATGATACTGTCTATAGGTGAGGAATAATAAAGACATCTGCTGGAAGAATCACAGTCTGCTTATTTTTTGGAATACAACATAAAATAAGCTTATATATTGCTATAGAGAATCATGTAGTATAATGGTCAAGGTATTGTACTAAACGCGGAGTGATCCAAGCCCTAGTGTTTCAACTTGTCCAGTCACTGTCTTTCAGCTCTAGACAGCTCTGAGCTATCTTTTCTCAAGGCTAATCATGTCCAATTTCTTCTATCTATCTTGGCAAGATATGACTTCCAGTCTTTTGATCATCCTTATTACTCTTCTCTGCCTCAAACTGGATAAGGTAGGTCTGACTTATGCAGTAAAACTATTAATTTGTGTGAAGTGGAAAATACTTACATTCACAAATGAAGGAAAATATACGTGTCCGGGGGGTAATACTATAGGATCCAATCTGAGTCAGTCACTGGATCAAAGTTTATTCTTCCAAGTTTTCAGGTTCGTTGCTGGAGCTCATCATCAGGAAATCTCTCTCTCATATTTTGGAGAAAGAAACGTTTCCTGGTGATGGGCTTCAGCAAAAGCCTGAAAACTTGGAACAATAAACCTTTGGTTCTGGTAACTGACTCAGATTGGATCATACTATTTTATTATTATAAGGGATACAATTAGTTTTAGCGTATCCCAAATCAACACCCACGTTTCCAAGTCACCATCTTTGATATATCATAATGGACTAGATTTTTCCTGATTAAGCCACTTCAGCTTCTACTGAGAGCTTGATGGTTACTGTAGCTGTTTCTAGTTTAAACTGGTAATTGACTACATGATAAGGTTCTGACAATTGGCTTTGCATTGTTTGCAGTTGTAATGGTCAGCCTATCAGTCCATCCATCATAGACATGATCTATCTATGTACCTATGCAGCTATGTCTGTTTCCACTTTTCCATATTCAAGTTCCACAATCAGGTTTTGTTATGGAACATTACAATTGAAAATGAAGGCTATGGCCTGGTAGCAGAATTAAACATGAATGATCTGACAAAAAAGAAGAAAACTACTGCAGACTGAAAGGATGAAATTACTGGAGGGGAAAGGAATTTGAAACTAATTTATCTAAGGAGGAAATAGCCCTAAAGCAACATGTAACTCATCTATTTCTTTTGTTGTGCCCTATAGATCCCAGAAATTAACTGCTTGTTTTGGCAATAAATACTGAGAAGTGATGGAATGATTTCATATTCCTGGCCAAAAAAAAAAAGAGTTCTAAGGTCAGCACACCAAAACCTAAAAAGAGCCTACATGCTACATCCCTAAAATGACAACCCCGAAATCTCAACCGTTCCCATGAGATGTTTGTCCAATAGGTCCCTCCCACTTTTCTTTTTCATTGCACAGTATAGAAGTTTTCTTTCATTAGTTCTGTTACTTTGTGATACAAACAAGTTTACACCATCCAAACTGTAGTCAACATACAGCTTGCTCAAGCTGGAAACCATGTCTTTCCTGAAGGAGTTCTTTTTCATTCTGAGTATAACTAAAGTAAGGAATTCATAGTGGATTACAGGAAGAGCAGTTCGGATATCCAGCCGTTGTATATCAATGGTGTTTTGGTAGAACAGGTGGCAGAATGTAAGTTTTTAGGTATCACCCTGAAACAAGATCTAACATGGGGGGCAAATACTTTAGCCCTAGAAAAAAAGGCTCATCAACGACTGTATTTTTTAAGACTTTTAAGATCACAACAACTGCCAGAGAGTCTGTTGGTTGCCTTTTATCGAAGCCCTATAGAGAGCATTTTATCTTATTGCCTCTGTGTGTGGTTTAGGAGTTGTACAGAGGCAGAGAAAAGGGCACTCCAAAGAGTGATAAAAAGGGCACAAAAGATCAGCGGATGTCCTCTTCCCTCATTGGAGGATTTGTATAACATGGGATGTAGAAGGAAGATACAAAAGATCTTGAGAGACCCTTCGCATCCAGGCCACTCGTTGTTTGAGATCCTACCATCAGGAAGACGATATAGAGTGCTGAAAGCCAGGACAAGTAGATTTAAATATAGCTTTTACCCAAGTGCTGTGATCAGGTTAAATGCAGAGTTATGAATCTGGTGGTCTTAACATATATATATCCTGGTTGTACAGTTTTTAACTGTTACTTGTTTTAATTTGTTTTACATTGTTATTTGTATATGTCTTTTGGTGTTGTTTCAGTTGTATGTTGTGGAAGAGCACCTTATTTCGTTGTTCTCAGGTTTCTGAGTACAATGACAATAAATTTATCTAAATCTAAATCTAAAGTAAAATTCATTGTCTAGACGAGTGATGGCTAACCTTTTCCATGTCGCCTGCCAAAAGTGCATGTGCGCACATGCTTGCATGCCTGCACCCAAGATGCAATGTGTGCGTGACACCCCTGCCCCACTGCGCATGCGACCTCCTGCACCACTAGCCTCTGTGCATGCGTGTGTGACCTCCCCAAAAGCCACATGCCTCTGTGCATGTGTGCGTGTCTCTCCCCACGCATGCACGGCAGATACCCGACAATCAGCTGGCTGGCGGGGGGGCATGCACGCAGGCACACTGGGGGCTCTTCCGGGCGATGTCTTCCATGCTGGCAGAAACGGTTCTGCATGCCACTTCTGGCACACCTGCCATAAGTTCGCCATCACGGGTCTAGACTGTATTCTGATTCATCTCCCCTTCATATGTTCCAAATGCCTCTTTTTATAAAATGGTAGTATCAAATTGTCCATAACTTATTATTTTATTTTATTGGTTTATTTTCTTCTGAATGTGATTATTTTACTGGAAAACAGCAAATGCCTTATTTCTGTCTTATTTTCCCCAAACAGCAAAATTAGATGAGGAATGTTTAAAATCAAAGGTCAAAGAATAAGTTCCCTAAGATCCAAAATCACTCGACTTAGAAACTTGCTTTTACAACAGATTCATTTCACCATTTTTGAAGATTCTCCAGCCTGTGCAAACCTTTCGGTGGTCAGCAAGCATAGGCCAGTTTCCTTTTTTTCTGTCATAAAATACTTTTGGAAATAACATAAAAACATCTGACCATCCCTATATAAATCTCTGTTCAGAATAATTTTATTAAACTTTGGGGTAGCATACAGGTAATAGTTAATAGAGCGGTGCAGTGGCCTAGAGGGAGCTCTTAACTCACAATGAGGATCCTAGGTAGAGGCAAATATTTCTCTCTTTGGGAACACTGAGAATATATGTGCTGAAAAAAAACTCTGCATTGGCAACAGGAAAGGCATCCAGCCAGTAAACACTCAGCTCCATTCAGCTGTCCAGAGTCCAACCCACAAGGGATTATGTGGTCATTAAAAGAAGATGATGATGATACAGGTAATAGTTAACAACACCCCATCATTGCCACCCATCACATCATCCATCCATTCATCATATCATGGTTATATAAATTCCCAGCATATCCCTACCTGTGATCATCCTCACCTCATCACATGGAGCTATCCGGTCGATGATGTCTTTCAAACATCCAATCATTTTTTCTTCCTGAAAATCATAAGGAAAGGTTTCCGTCCATTCTGTTAATAACTGTAAAATCTTGGGCCCAAATTTTCTGATCCGTGCCTAAAATAGAGGTTAAGGAATGGAAGATCAAAAATAAAGGGATGTATATCAGCAGATAAAGAAGAGGACCTGAATTTAAAATTAAAGCATTTGCAGGATACTTGGAAAGCTCACATACTGTGTGCAATAATCCTAACATGGATGATAAATTTCCTGAAGTTAGGTAGGGATGAGTGAATCATTCCATTTTTCTCTGGGGTTAATTTTTTAGTAATTTATAATCACATCTCAATTCATTTTTCCATTAAACCGTTGGTTTTTTAAAAAAATAAATCTGCCTTTTTTATTTAAATCAGCATTTTGAGGGGTATTGGATTTAGCAAAAATGAAATTTCTCTATCATTGCTTCTTTGGTTATACCTAATATTTGATCGTTCACATTTCACAGCTACAAGTTTGCCTGAAAAGATTTAGTTTGAATCCAACAAGCCATTGCTGATATAAATCAATTTAGTATTTTTCCTAGTCTCTATTTTTAATACATTTGTGTGTGATTATGCATGATGCATTGTCACTTCCAAAGTATTTTTAGAAGTCATTTCAGCAAGTTCTTTTGAAACAGCACACATACCCATTATAGTAATAGAAACTCTAGATGAGAACAGAAATTTTCCTCGCATTGGCCTCCAAATGAAAGGTACCCTTTAATCAAACAAAATTATATTGTGTGTATTGAAGCTTCCTCCCTTTTCCACAAAACTGGTCAGTAGGGCTATTTTAGTATTTGGCCAAAATAGGTTTCAAGAGAACTGTCACTGGACGTAATATAGCAGTTAAAGACTTTTGAAAATGTCTAGAAATTTTTTTCAAGTTGTCTATGAAATACAGGCAGTCTTCAACTTACAACCCCATTTGAGCCCAAAATTTATATTGCTAAGCAATATCATTGTTAAGTGAGTTTTGCCCCATTTTACGACTTATCTTGCCACATTTGTTAAGTGAATCATTGCAGTTGTTAAATTAGTAACATGGTTGTTAAAATGAATCTGGTTTCCCCATTGACTTTGCTTGTCAGAAGGTTGCAAGAGGTTGTTTATGTGACGCTGGGACACTGCAACTGTCCTAAACGCGAGTCACTTGTCAAGCATCCGAATGTAAATCACATGACCGTGGGGATGCTTCAAAGGTCATAAGTGTGAAAAATGGTCATAAGTCACTTTTTTCAGTGATGGTGTAACTTTGAATGGTCACTAAATGAACTGTTGTAAGTCAAAGACTACCCGTATATAAATCCCTGCTGATTCAAATGAAGCTAAGAAGGAAACAAAAATACCAGAACACATCCTCTCCAGCAGACAACACCCAGATAAGTGTTGTTGCAACTTAAGCAAACTGGACTACCTGTATTGCTAATACAGGGCATATTAGTATGCAAAGAATAAGCACTGAAATCTCCTATCCCAGTGAAACACTTGTTTCTTATCATACTGTGAACAGGGTAACCCAGCACAGGCCCCAAAGCTACAATATTAATGAGTATGTACACCTTCCTGTCACGCCCTTGGTGGAGACTGACTCTGAGGGAGAGGAGGAACAGCTGACAGATAATGGAAGTGTGGCTCTGGAGGTTGTGGAGGAGGCTGGGTAAGGGCAGAGGCCGGCTGTGCAGTCAGAGGAGGGCCCAGGCCCATCCCCTATCCATCCTAGGGCATGCGTGGAGGAGAGGATAAGGGAGAGACGTAGTCTACTTGAGAGGAGAGGGCTTTGATCTTCTTCATGGGCTGCAGGTGTGACAACTGCATAAGAGTTTGGACCTGCATACTGGCAAATGCTGGAAACAAAGCATGTTTTATTTTGGTTTGAAGTTATCTTGGTTGGCACCCTTCCAACAGACTGTGCCTTGTTATCGCCTTGAATTTGGTAAATACTTTTCCTCTTCCGTTGTGGAAATTTCATCATTGTAGTTTGTCTGGTTTTTTTATTTCACCTCTAGCTGCTCATTAAGTTCGGACTGTTTTGCTTTTTTTTGAAGACTGTTTTATCTCCAACTGAGTATTACTGAACAGTGGGGCCAAGTTGGCAGCATTAAAGGACATTTATTTACGTTTTGGATTTTGTTACGTTTGTGTTACACTCTGAGTCATCACACTTCCTTTGGAAAGCATCTCTTGCCAGATCTCTTCCTTTGGAAAGATCTCTTGCTGGATTGTATAACATGTTTCTGGGTGCCTTACCATTTGTTGCTTCTTGAGAGCAAAGTAAAGAGCCAGGAGTGTTGGAACAAGGGGCAGGTGGAAACCTCACTGCAAGTCATGTACCCATGCATTACACATTTACATATTTTGCCACTAACTTTTAACAGAAAGACAATTTAGCAATTTAGTCTATTTTTGCATTTGTTATTATCCTCCTGCATCTTGCTCAGAAGGGGGCTGACTCTTCTCCCTCTCTTGGGGATCTCAGTTGCTGAAAATAAAAATTTCTGCTATCTGAGTACAGCTGCTTGGTCTATGTTGCAAGATTTAGAGGTTTAGTATCTCTGTGAGTGTGCAGTCATTTTAGCTATTTTTATATTTCATTTCTTCTGTTCAAAGATTATATGTAGAGGTTTGTATGTCTGCATAAGCTGGAGGAGGGAATAAACAGAATGATCAAGATAGAAGAAGTGGAGACTGTTAATAAATTAATAATAAAGATGAATAAAATGTTAACAATAAGTGATTCTTGAAGATCTGCTGTTAACATTTCCTGAGGAATTTACCCTGTTTAAATATGAACAATGATTATAAGATTTGTAGGTAGTGTGCACAACAGTTATTATCACTCTTTATCTCAATCTTTATTTTCAGGGGCAGAATTGCCAAATGGGAATGCACAGTCTGCCAGCCATTGCATGCAGCTTTACAGAAGGAATGTTTCTGTGAGAAGAAGGCAGAGCCTCCTCGCTGACAGACTGTAGATCGCGACTCTCTGTGGCTATGGTCCGTGCTCTTTCATTGGAGAGCCCCGATCATTACAATTAGGGCAGGGGTGGGCAAACTACAGCCCGGGGGCCACATCTGGCCCGTTGGTCTTTTTAATCCGGCCCGCCGAAGATTGGTACAGAATTAAGGTTTGATGTGAATGATTGAATGATTGCATTCAATTGGCCCGCCGAAGATTGGTACAGAATTAAGGTTTGATGTGAATGATTGAATGATTACATTCATTTGATTTTGACTCGTAATGACAGGCATTTTGACACCAGGTGGTGGCCTGTCTGTCAAATTTTAAAAGTCAATGAGGCCCCCGAGCCAAAAAGTTTGCCCACCCCTGGATTAGGAGCTGAAGCTGCCTTGGAGGGACGGCGGAGTAAGGGGAAGCTACAAGCCAGGTTGAGGGGAGCCGCATCTCCCCCTCGGGCTTGGTCTTTTCCCCACCGAAGACAACTGCAGCGGTGGTTTAAAATGGCCATCCTGAAGAGGAGGACTCAGCTGGATTAAGATTTGTGCAGGAGGAAAGAAAGAGGTGGATAACATCTGAACCGGAACAACTGGGCAATACAACTAAACAAGAAATGTTTCTGTTAGCAAAGTACCGCTGACCCTTAAACAGAGTGGCAGGAGGAGAAATGTCTGTAACTATAATTTCAAAGGGCAGTTAAGTCTCCTGTTATTTCAAATACTGCTATAAGGACTCTAGCCCACTTCTTTAGCTACATAAACTAAAGATAGTCCATGGTGCCCTTTGTCATAAGGCATGCATTTTTCTTTAAAGTTCTGCAAGCATGCTTGTTATTTTTGTAGCAGGAGGCAACATAACAATTCCTCCCAATGTTTGACAAGCACCCCAGTAGCTCTTATAGAAGTTAGCATGTGCATAAAAATAATTTGGGATCATTGCATTGTTTTTCAGAATGGAACAAGAGACAAGTTCAGGTAGACCCTCAATTTACAACCGCAATTAAGCCCAACATTTTCTCTGCTAAGCATGGCAGTTGTTTAAGAAGGTTTTACTCTTTTATGAACTTTCTTGCCACAGGTGTTAAGTGAATCACTGCAGGTGTTAAATTAATAACATGGTTATTATGTGAATCTGGTTTCCCCATTGACTTTGCATGTCAGAAACTCAGAAAATGTGATTATATCATCCTGGAATGCTACAACCGTTATAAATACATGCCAGTTGCCGAGTGTCCATATCTTGATTATGTGGCCATGAGGATGCTGCAACAGTCATAAGTGTAAAAACAGTCATAAGTCACTTTTTACAATGTCATCGTAACTTTGAACAGTCAACTCAACGAATGATTGTAAGTTGACGACTACCTGTACCATATTGCTGAAAATGCTACAAGGATATTATAGTCAGAGAGATGGAGCAAATGGGACAATTTCAACATAGGGCTTCTGCATGCTATTAGAACAAGGCTGTACTTTTGGGGAGCACCAGGGCTGTACAGAACAGGAAGGGAATTTTTTGCTTGTTTTCCCTGAGATTTGAGAAGCGGAATTTTGGGTTGAATTTGTTTTAAGCATATTTAGCCTACTTGAGGGCTTACCTCATTATACTGCTTGCATTTTCATTATTAAAATGGCAAGAAACAGTGCAGTAATTTTCAGCAATTACAGTCAGGAGGGACTCCAACAACTACAGAAAAAACAGCTGCCTGTGGCTCTGGTTCTCCACATCTGACAATTACAGCCAAACCATTCCCAAATGCATTTATTTAGGTAGGCACCAGACAGAGAGCAGTACTTCCAAATACGGATGTATTAGCATCATGGGCACTTTTTGTGAGCAACTGTATCCTGCTCTGGGGAGCTGAGAGTGATGGGTTGCCTAAGAAAAGCCATCTTGTAATCAAAACCTAAGGCAAAGGAAATAAGAGTGTCACAGTAACACCAACTAATGAAAGAGTATAATTGACTCTTATTCCCTGGCATCCTAAAGGCTCCAGGAAATGAAAGGATCACCACCTGGGAAGATTAGAAAAGGAAGAAAGAAGAATACATGAATTACAGCTACTCTTATTACATGGAGTTTTGCTGTCAGGCATGGAAGTCTTATTTGAACATGCCAAACCCTGAGGATTACAAAACTCTCCATGGGGACAGAGGGACATATGAAGCAAGGGAGATAAAGAGAGAGCAGGTACTATAGGAAGCTTTCTTCAAATGCACCATAATCCTGTTGTCACACTCCGAATGATACCCTTACTCATCCTTGCACCTGCAATTATTAAATGTACCAACCTTATCCAGCACTGGGTCATCCAGATGCTGCTGCTCGATGCACTTGTGACAGACACGGGACAGAAGTTCATGTGGTTCAATGAACAGTCTTGAGCTCAGCAGGAATGTGAAGATATAGGCCTTCTGAGGAAAGGGAAACAGGAACATTCTTCTAACAACAACTGGCTAGAGAACTAAATATGCCAAATTCATTCTCAAAGACAGAAGGTAGTTCATTTATTCATTTTGAAACAGAATACAGTGGTTGCAATCTCAATCCATCTTGATGGTATATAAACAGGGGACACTATACTGATGTATTTGGTGTAGTTTTTTTTAAGCAACTTTAGATTTTAAAATAAAGAAATAAAAACAAGGATTAACGATTAGGCATAATTCTTGTTATAATTTTTGTTTTCTTTTTTGTTGGCATTTTCTATAACCTAGACTCTTTTCAGATAGGAGCAGGTTATAAGCACTATAAAATAAATATACAAATAAACCAGCAAACCAACGGGCAACAGATTTCAATATTTAAAATTTATTTATTTTATTTATTTATTTGATTTGTCAATTGCTTACAAGATAATAGGTATAAGTATATACATAGTTATGAATACATGAAATGGGTACATATAAGAAAAATAAAAGAAACAATAGGACAGGGACGGTAGGCATGTTGGTGCGCTTATGCACACCCCCTACAGACCTCTTAGGAAAGGGGTGAGGTCAATAGTAGACAGTCTAAGGTTAAAGTTTATGGAGGGGCAAGATATCTACTTCTCAATACAGAAGTCTTTTAAGAATAATAAATCGTGCTATGTTCTGTATATATCTATTCAGAAATAGGGATTGTGTTTTGGCTAATAGAAGAATAACATCAACTGTTGAACTATGGAAGTTCAGCTACTTTAAAACTTATTTGTTCTTGGCAACGTTCCCACTGACATTAGGGACAATAACTATTTAAGGTGTTCTCTAGTTAGAGATAATTTATTAATTTATCATTGTGAATTTATCATTGTGAACTTTGAGTTGTCATTAAATGAGTGCTTGTAAGTCAAGGACTACATATAGTATATTGTTTATTTGTAACCTGCATCAAAAGAAGCTTTCCTAATTCAAAAATTGTTGAAAGCTTGCAAAAAGTGATGGTCCAGTTCATCACAACAAATGGCAATTTACAGTAACCAAACATTTACCTCAGGGTAGTAGTCAGCTGTAGGTATAAGGTGTTGAATTAAAGCATCAAGAGATGCTGAGGTAAGGTTTCCATCTTGAAAGATCAGTCCTCCTTCATCATCTTCTTTGGAGGGATGGAGGTGATGAGGGCTAAAGCCACAGGAAGTAAACATGCTGGCAGAGCTCAGCATTTGGGGCATGCCTTTCTGAAACAAAGGAAGCACAGATAACATCAAAGGCACACCCAAAAATTACAACAGAGCCTGGGAAGGAAGGAAGGAATGTAAGGAAACACTTGCACTTGAAAAACTTCCCACCATTGATTGCACTGAAGAACTCTAACCAGTGTAATATAACATATGAAATAATCATACAAGTAAAATGTCATCATCATCATTAACAAAGAAAATCAGCAAACTATTCAAAGAAAAAAGTCAATCTGAATAAAAATGTCTTCTGCAGCCAACAGGAAAATAGCCCTAGATCAGGAAAAGATTGATAAATTTATTTTTTATAGTTTATATTCAAATAATGATACAATTATGAATTTGGTAAAAAATAATAATGTGAATACCTGTATATTCAGTTTTATTTAATATATCATAATATATTCTGTATAAAACCTCTATTTTTAAAAACAAATACACACATATCTTTGTATTAATGCAAAGACATTTGGGAAATGCAAATACTGAAGTTAATTACACTCTTGGAAAGTTTCATATTGGGTTTGTGGTCTTTCAAATCCACTGGTTTTGCTAAATGAATAGAATTTCATTATCTTTGCTTGCAGGATATATAGTGAATTCAATAGTTTCCTAGATCTTCCTTTTCTCCCTTTCTATATAGATAGGGACATTTGTGCTCTTCCTGATATCTGGCACTTTACCAGTTCGCCAAGATTCTTGAAGATAATACATTGGGGGTTGGTCAAAATCTAGCCAGCTCCCTCAGTTTCCAAAGAGTGCAAATAATATAGTCCTGGAGATTTAAGCTTATTCAAAGTGAAGAAATAGTTTCTTTCAATCTCAAGCTTCAATGCTATGCTTTCATCTTGCCCTTCACATTTTATTGGAAAAGAATCAACCATATTTAGGAGTTAAGAAGTGCTGTCTTTTAATAACAGAATATTGTTATTTTTTACAATAACCTTTGTAATAAATTACAAGGAAAATACCTTTTACCCTCCTGGTGATATAAAAGCTCGAACTTTTTGGGACACACCAACCTGCTCTCTCTCTCTCACACACACACTGCCCTCAGCACAGTTGGTTATCTTGTAAAGTTGGCATAATGCAGAGCCTCTCATCTACCATCCTACTGTTTGTCAAGGATATGAGGAGGACCTGTACCAACATGCATTGCTGTTACTTTTTAAAACAGCATAGTTAGTTCTTGCTTAATGATTGGTCACTTAACAACGGTGATAACAGACTCCCCCCTCCAAGTTACTTATGACCCATCTTCAAAGTTACACCTATCACATCATCTCATTTTGGGCATTTGGCAACCAGTTTGCATTTACAACTAGTTGCAGTACCCTAATGATCATGTGAGCAGAAGTTGTAACATTCTCTATTGGGTTTATTGGGTTTGGGCAAAAAAATAATGTCCATTTTTGACATATGTGACTAACTTTATGACCATCATAAAAAGAGTTGTAAAATTGAGACAGGTGGTGCGGTGACTTGCTTAAATAACCATAACAACTTATGACCAAAATTCCAGTCTCAACTGTGGTTATTACGTGAAGGCTTCCATACCTCTCTGAATACATCATTAATTCTTTTCAGTGTTCCCACCTTTTCTTTTGAATAGATGCAAACTTATTTGATCACAGCCACGCTAGCCTCTCTGCTGCCCTCCCACCGATGCCCAAGCATGACTATTGATTCCCTCAGTCAATGTATTCAGATTGAGTTAATGAGCTGCTGTCTGTAGCCCAAGTCAAACTGCCTAAATACAACTTTCCTTGCTCTTGATTGAAGTGAAGCCTTGCAGGAGCTCACCCAACCTGCAGGGCTTCTATTATGTCAGTGGAACTGGAAGCCAGCTAAATCTGCATAAGCTGTTATCATGGATCCTTCAAATCCAAAATACCAAGATTTCACCTGCTATTTATGGAAAATATCTTAAAGATCACGCTCAAGTATATTGTGCTGAAATATTGGAAAAGAAAGAGAGAGAAAATAAAGACTCCTCTGCATGGAGCTGTGCTGCTAGTAAATACCTGGTCCCATAAAGGTGGTTTCTTTGCTAACATTACATAAGTGATTTCTCATTGCCAAGATACTGATTGGTTTATCTAGGTAAACATGTAAGCCCTCACTATATATGAGTTAATATTCTTTAGGTTTTGACACATTTTAGCTTTTTTCATCCCACATCAGCCCAGAGAACTGGCTGCTGCCGTCCTGCTGTAATAGGGCCTCTATTTGAATCTACCTTGGGATCAGTAGGCCACTGTTTTCTCTCAACTTTCATTTACCTTCTGCCTAAAAGCAATGCTGGCAGCAAAGATTTGGTAAGAAGCAAAAATACTGAAGATACCAAAAATAAATGCGTGGTTACTTTAATTATTGTTGTCCTATTAAATCTAGAGCAGGGCTGTCAAACTCCCGGCCCACGGGCTGGATGCGTCACGCACTGGCTACGCCCACGTCCAGTTTAGTGAAGGGGAAAAAGGTCCCGATACATCATGTGATGCCGCCATAATGACGTGAGTTTGATACTCCTGATCTAGAGGCTGCAAAACTCTGGGATTGGGGTATCTTACAATTAACAACTAAGAAAGAACTGTGACATCAAGCAAGCAAGAAAAATGCAGATGCAGAAAACATACATTATAACAACAACAACAACAACAACAACAACAAACCATTTGGCAAGGGCTTCTTAGATCCACACTTGAGAGAACTGCTATATCTTCAAAGACATCATCAGCATGGGAATCATATGGATCTATGGGTGGATGCTGCTTAAGATGCCAAGTGCCAGGACAGAGAAAGTTGCTTTCTAGGTCCTCACTGGTGGCAATCTTAATCTTTCCTGATGGGCAAAAAGTAATTTAAAATAGGAAGCCTCTTCAAAACCAGTCCCTATGTTGTGAAGAGCTTTGTAAATAATACGCAGCACCTTAAATTGAAAAGTGACACTAAAGATGGTAACACAAAAGTTATCTATGGATTATTATATTGTATAAATATCGCAGAAGACAGAATGCTTAAAAAGCTTATAGAGATGCTACCAGAAAATGCTTTGTACAAAGGGCCTTTTAGGTTAAGGAATTTCCACAAAAGGACAGAACATTAGGTTCCTAGGGCAAATTAGTAACTTGAGTATTAGGTAGTATTAGGGACCAATAGTCTGCTCTAATTGGTTGACATCCATTATCCTCAGTCCTTTTTTTTCCAAATAAATGCTTAAAGTCAGAACCATTCTTTCTGCCTGTGTCATCAAGGCAAGTGGAAATAAATAACAATTACAAATAAGCATCACATACACATCAGCATTTGGGGGAAGGGGGATTTCAAAGCAGAAAAATCAAAGTAAATACCATATGGTGACAAAAATCAAGAAGTTGGCCTGAAGAACACAGAAGTACCAGAATTAGTTTTTAAAAAGAAAATTGACAGTACAAACAAAAATCAAGTCAATCTTTTGCACATTCCTTTGATGTTATGATTTTGCTGACATATATTAGGCAGCTACAATTCTTATCAACATATCATCCACCTCAATGGATCGACCAAATCAGATTATATGATGACATTTTTCTATTTAGGTACAATTTAATAAAGACACCAATCCTAATGCTCCTTTAGATTTAGGCCATTGGCTAACAATTGTCAGGTTAAGAACAAAACAATGTAGGGGATGGAGAAAAAGGCAGGAATTGCTTCATGGGAATTGTTGGAAGGACCCAACTGTGTGGGCGTCCAGGCTCCAGCTGCAGAATGTTTATTATGTCACCATTCAATGAAAAGGCCAGGAAAGTTTGGTCACTGGCACTTTTGCATTTAACAGAAAGTCTTGGGGCAACTGATAATGATCTTGTCAGTATTGGCTGCCGTACAAATTACCAAGTCCTAAGAAAAAAAATAAAACAGCCCTTTCCTAATTAAAAATCCAAGCAGAATGCACGCAGTCTTGTTTTTAATTTCAAAGGACAAAATACTTGTAATCGGTGGCTGAAGCATGATATTCTGGGACTAAGAATCTGGCTGCCTTTCATTTCTAATATTATATGCACATTAGATTTCGTACTGCCTGAATATTAGAAAGATGGCCAATTCCCATTATTAATTTCCAATTCTCTCAATAATGTATTATTTTGTTTACATGAAAACAATAAAGACTGCAGAAATGGATAGTTGTCTTCATCCTACTGCCTTTGAATAGATGGAGATTTTAAATTTACAGGTGAGCAGATATGGGAAGGCTGGGCTATCTACAAACATATATGAAATCAGGAACAAATTGCAGATATTGAACTATCACAGTAACAAGTCTCCAAGATACGTTCTTCAGTAAAAATGACAGACCTCTGTAGTCCTATTCTATTTGATGCCTTGAATTATTATATCTCTGTGCCACTTCTAGTTTGTTAGACAATGAGAAAGTTAAGGGGTCCCTCTGTCACTTTAGTTTCTTTAAAAATATAAGCACAATTGAATTATTCTTGGAATTGTATTTCTTTATTTTTAAATGTAGCTTGCAAAATATGGTGAGGAAATGGATGAATAGTTTTCAGAATTGTCAAGAAACGTAATCACATATGGTGGTATCTAGGTTAACATAGTGTTTTCAGAATGGTAAGTCAAGTGTGGTCCATCCACCAATCTTCTAAAAACCAACAGATGAAGCTGTTACCAAAACCAGGCTGTTTAGAAAACATTTGCTAGCTTCAGTGCAAAGATATGGTATAATCTACTTGAACATTTTCTCATTTGTCTGTATAAGGCCAATAAAACAGTCCAGAATCCAGAAAATTACTTCAGTCATGCATTAATCAGAACCTATCATTTTTTTGAGCATGGCCAGTTTGTTATGAATTGCTTTAAAATGATCTGCTGTGCAGCATACATGGAGTTACAAAGCATAACACTTAAGACAATGTGGAACCCCTTAATTCAGAAAGTACTTTGGCTATAAATGCAACAATTCAATTATTTGGATTTTGAGAAAAGCACTTTCTTTCACTCTC